CGAGAGGCTAGGGTTCGGGTTTGTGGGAGACCGAGTTCTTGCATTATATAGAATTTTTCCTTCCAGGACTAGGAAGTACTCTCATGGTGATTTTATCACGTTTTATGACCTTTTAATGCTTTGCTGATACCTCCTCCTACCTACCTACCTGTTACCGAGTGGGAAGTTGCGCAATATTTGGAGGTCCGGGCGAGTAAAACGCATATGATGGTGTTGATGCTAGATTAGGTGCGATGGTGCTGGCAGACCCGGACTCACCTACACCGGCATTGTTGATAGTGGACTGTGGATATCATTCAAAGACCAGAAAGCTATCCAGTGCGTCTTAGCTCCACAAAAGCAGGTGAAGGGAATGACACCCTGCTCAAGGCTACCACGAGGCTAATACAGCCGTTAGAAGCTCATTTCTTATTTCCTTCTAGAATTATGGTTAAACGCACCACCTCATATGTAATAGCTCATGGTCTCAACTTTTACGTGTACGCACGAGACCTCATTCTTTGCTTACTATCGCCTGTCTATTTTCAGTTTTGGACGGTGAGATTTAGAAAATTTCTCCTTAATTCATGGTATGCCGCCGGCTATTGAGCACTCACCCGGTGATTTTGGGACGCCTACTCAATCCCGTTTTCCTTCTGATTTGGGGTTAGTGAGTGTAAAGCAATGGGCTGTGACGAGTTCTTTTTCATCCATTTCCCCCTTTGTGAAAAGTTTCTTTGTTTCAAGGAGTACGCTTCGTTGCGCGTGTCCGTCGAAACTAGGTCACGCCGCAGCCGTCGCACGCGGCGAGTCGGCCCGCGATATTTGACAGACGACGTAATTGTCACTGGGGCATGCGCTTTGCGTTTGGTCCACGGCAGTCAGTTCAAGACGAAGATAACACAGACAAATGCAAATCATTTGCTCCGACACTTGGTGGTACTGTGATGTCATCTCGAGACCTCAGTGTGATGCGCCGCGCGCGAAGTGGGCGGGGTGACCTACTTTCGACGGGCACGCGCAACGGACGTTCTCCTTGTTTGAAGCATTTTGTGCTGGAGTATCACATTTGTTCATGAAGTGGCAAAAGTTACCCTACTGTGAATCCTGCTGTGAATATAGAGTGCATGAGCATGCGAGTAAAACTGAAGTATTACTTCAAATAAACAAATATCGGTAGAAGTCTTAAAAGGTCATAAAACGTGATAAAATCACCATGAGAGTAATTTCTAGTCCTGGAGGAAAAATTCTGTATAATGCAAAAACTCGGTCCCCCACAAAACCCGAACCCTAGCCTCTCGCCCATGAAGCGTCACGCTTACCACTACACCAAGCCGCCATTGATGGGTGAGCTGCTTCCATGTAATTTAAGTTTTCTCATGTAGTGTCACCTAGAACCACCCTCATAACTCCGTTCAGAGAATCGCTTGGCAGATTTGGAAAGCGGATTTGAATTCAGCGCTCGAAAACACGTCTAGCAGTATAGGTCTTATTTCAAGTGGCCACTTCGAGTTGGGATCGTTCCCTGGTTAGATACTTAGACGACCCGACCATCAGCACGGCGATTGGCCTTGCGCGGGTCCCAACTTCTCTTCAATTGTTCTCGATCTTGAGCTCTGGTTATTCAGTGCGTAGTCACTCTAAAGGCCTCCGGATCATAGACTTTGTTTCGATAGGCTGGATCTGCCTATCGTGAAGCAGGACGGCCATGCAGCTTCTTTTTCTCTCGCAGGTACCATAGTACAGTGGCCGAGCTCCATCGTCCATCCTCTCTTCTCATTAGGTGTGCGGCAAATCTGTGCTTCGCTTCATCGATGTGAACTAGAACGTCTTTAACACCTTGACGACAGCGCGAGACATATGTCCCGCGTTTCGCAAGCCACGTGAGACAACGCGGGACACATGTGTCCCGCGCTCATTCCGCAATTTTTTTTGCGCATGTATGATTTATTCATATGTTTTTTGTGTTTATATTATAGATCAAGCAGTAACAAAGCTATTAACAGAATGGGAGTTGAAATGATCAGATATGCTTCATCTTCATACAGGTTTTCCAAGCCTCACCAAATTATGAGCCTACTTCAAACATCGACACTTTTATTGAGATCAATAAGCAAGTGAAATGAGAACATTGGAAGCAAGCTATTGAATTTGAGTTTTACAGCATTGAGGAGTTTAGTTCTATGTCAGAAGATGGCCGAGTTGTAAAGCATCTTCCGAGTTTTCTTCTCTCCCAGCCATTTTCATGTCTGTATAAGCTTTTTTCAAAGCGGATTATTTATTATACAGAACATTTTTGTGTGCTCTTCATTTTATTAATCAACTTACTAAGTAGCGATATGTAGTTAGAGGTAGTTTTCACTCTAAAGCTTCGAAATCTCGCGGTCGACGGGGCCGCAAATATTGGGTCGGTCCCACGCCACCAAAATTGCCCAAACGCGCGTTGTCGTCAACGTGTTAACTTTCAACATTGCTCTGGCGACGGAATTATGAAGTTTGAGCTCTCGTTGCCGACTCAGCGTCAGACCCAAGAAACGACGTTCAATCGAAGCCTGGGTGGACATTAAACGTCTTTCCAGTGATTGCGTCAGAGCCCAGGTTTCTCCCGCGTAGCTGATGGCAGGCAACACTGTTGAACTGAATAAGTCTGCTCGAAGTTTGCAGTCCCTGGTGTCCTCTATTACGCTTCTTATCGATTTAAATGCTGCCCATTCAGCCTTCGACTTCTTGCTAACTCTCCAGTTAACTCGTTCCTCATGTTAAGCTGGCTTCCGAGGTACATCCCCCTGTACTGAAAGGAGGTGCTATCGAAGACGTCGTCAACGTCTTTGATAGCACCTCCTTTCAGTACAGGGGTATCGCCTGAGAATTGGTTTCGCATTACTTCGGTCTTAGAAGTATTGATGGTGAGACCACAGTGGCTTCCTTCCTCATCTAGGCGATGCAGCATCTCAGAAGGGTGTTCTGGAGAGTCCGTGATTAAAACGATGTCATCGGCAAATCGCAAATGGTTAAGACGCACACTGTCGATGTTAATAACAGAGTTACCCCAGTTCCAGCGACGTATGACGTGTTCTAGGCAGGCGGAAAACAGGTTTGGCGATATCGGATTCCCTTGTCGTACTCCTTCCTGAACTGTTACTACAACGTCATTGTAGAAAGGATGGAATACCGTTGTACAGTCTGAGTAGCATTCTCGTAGTACGTCCACGTAGATCCTTTCAACACCGTGCTACTAAAGCGCCTCCCAGACCTTTACTGGCTCCACCAAGTCGAACGCTTTCTTGTAGTCGATGAAAGTCGTTACGAGGGGAAGGCAATGCCCCGGAAAGCCTCGATAAGACGTCGGCAAGTTGCGATGTGGTCGAGGGTATGGGTAGGGTCGAAAACCCGCATGTTCCTCCGGTTGAGCCTCTTCTAAGGTCCCACGGATACGTCCTACGGACACGTCCCAGTATACAACGCTTGAATACTTTATAAAGTAGTGGCAGAAGCGTGATAGGACGATAGTTGGCTAGGTCTTCTTTGTCGCCCTTCTTGAACAGCTGCACCGTCGAAGACTGCTTCCACGCCGTTGGGACCGTACATTCCGCCAGGTAGCGAGTGTATCGCCTTGCAAGTGCATGCATATAAAGGAGGGCACGCTTGTAGAAGCTCCACGGAGATGCCGCTTTCCCCGGCGCCTTGCCTCGGGGCATCGTTTCAATCGCATGACGCGCTTCTGATGACAGAAAAGGCAGCGTTTCCTCCAGAAATGATCTTTCTTCTCTCGCAACTGGAAGGCCTGATCTGAACAGAGCGCAGTAGAACGCTGTCAAAATTTCTTCCATTCCAAGTATGCAGCAGCATCGAGTTCCATTTGCAGTTCTTAAGCATGGAATCCTAAGACGGTGCTCGGCTATCTTTCTTCTCGCCTTCCTAAAACCCGTCTGTTCTCTGCCTCCTCTGAGAGTTTCGATCTTGCAAAACTGGCGTGATCTTCAGCAATTCGTTGCCTACACAACCTGCTTAGCAAAAAGTACTCTATGTGGTTTTCCTGTCGATCCATATTTCTTCGCTTTTGGAGTAGTGCACTAGTAGAAGCAGAGATGCGACGAGTACTGTGGTTGAGAGCAACACTGCGACAGCTGTTTGCGATTGCGGTCACGGTTTGCACGAGGTTCTCGTAGTCAGCGTCGATGTCATCCATCACTTCAAACAACTCTTCTTTTGCAAGCCTCGTGACCGCATCTACGTCCAGCCTAGTGGGGCCCGGCCAATTTAAGCGTATGCGCGTCAGACGCATCAAGCCGCAATCGAGGTGAAAACGCCTGCGCAGTAAACGATGATCTCCCCGTGTCGAAAGAAGGGACAACCGCAACATCCGTCATGATTTTCCGATTGCACAAGATGTGGTCGATTTCGTGACAGTGTTGTCCATTCGGCGAGATATGAGTCCATCTTTTCCGTGGTGCCTTGAGGAACTGACTACTGCCATGGTAGAGATGATGCAAATCACAAAAACTCGCTAATCTCTCCCCAGGCTCAATGCGCTCTTCTGCCGAACGTGGCCCGATGAAGACTTCGCCGTGCTTTCGTAATCCAACCCGGGCGTTGAAATCTCCCATCACAACGACATAACCACCTTGCCTACGCGTGAGCTCCTCGAGTTGTTCGTAGAAGTTGTCATGCTGCTCTTCATCGCTGTCAGCTATAGGCGCGTAAGCCTGTATAATGGTGACTTGCGAACTCTCGAAAGGTACGCGGTTAGTATGGCGAGTCGGTGCCCATAGAACGTTACGCTCCTCACGTGCTTGAAGAAGTTCGGAGACAAGAAAACCAACATCTCCTGACGTTGAATTCTTTTTTCGGGCTCCTCAGAACACTGAAGTTCCGTCGGTCCAAGTTCATAAGAGATGTTCATTCCATTTCGTCTCGTTCAAGCTGATTACATGGTACCTAATCCGTCCAGCTTCATCGATGAGTGCCGACCGAAAGCTGAGCGGCCGAGCTGATGCTTCGACAGTTATAGGTGCAAGCTATCAGCTGGCTCACTCTTGTCCGTCTCCTTTGGCAGCCTATGGCCTTGAGATTTCTTCGCTTTTGGCTGTGTGCTGATCCAGCGCTACCTGACTGGGCAGGGACAGCCTGAAGGGGACTAAGGCGAGGATAAGAAGTTGTCGTAGTTAATCCTCGTCCCACAAGATAGCCTTACTAGGGCGTTCCTGTCGCTCAAGGAGAGCGCCGTCCCACCATGAGCTTGGGCACTTTGGGTTCTTTAGCCACGGGAGTTGGTATGGGGTTCTCTTGTCTAGGGTTCTTTGGTCACGGGAGTTGGTATGGGAACTCTATTCTGACGAATATTCCAACCTTGCCACAAGCTCGGACACCACTGCATGGTGGAACCCGTGTACGAGTTGACCAGTAGCAGTTTTGACTAGTAGCATTTCAATAAGCCAGCGTCTGATTTCACTCCGCAAGGGAAGTTTGATTGCAAGAGGAAAAGAACATGAGCAACTCGACAAAGAGCCACTACGAGGAATGAGGTCCTAGGCGTGAACACGATGTCTATCAAAACAGGACAGATTTTTGTTCAATTGGGTGGTGGGTGTAAGCAGTGTCAGGCAGTTTTTTGAAGGTGAAGCAGAAATTGGAGGAATGCCATGATAGAGCAAATTAGTCTAACGTGTTTGCTAAGCATCGACACATTTTGAGAAGAGTCGAAAAGTTAGCAGGAAATGTGGTGAAGAGGGATATGGAACGGGAAATGGGAGGGGCGAGGCATAGCTGGACGTTATCATTCTCTTGTACGGCAAATATTAATATACCCTTCAATAATATCTCTCTACCCTTCCCTTTCGTTAACGTCACTTCCACTGTTGCGCTTTTCCTCTTTAAAGCGTACATCTCATTTTAAGGCGGCTATTTTGGTTCCTTACCGTGTCATTTACTCTTTATCGAACAGTGCCGCATGTCATCTTCTTTGAGAGTTTTTAACTGCAAGTATCTTTAATCTACCACCCGATCGTTATCTGATTTGGGAGCATCGTATTCTGCACTTGCGGCCCTGAAATCTAAATTGTTCACACGTTACTACTCTTTAACATAGGTGAAAGGCTAGTTGATTCCACTTTCAAAAGCAGAAATTTAACATCTAATCATTTTAGATGCTTGAGGTATCGTAGGTGAACCCATCCTTGTCTTTATTACAAACAGCTAATCTGACATGAACGAACAACACGAGCTATCCTGTACCAGCCGTTGCGGAGAAAGATGGGAACAACACTTGTAACACAACTCAAGTACATACAGTAAACACTTTCTGGAATCATCGGGAAATCAGTAACCGTAACACGGAACCAAACTAAAGTGATGAGGATGTGGAGATCAAATTTTTTTTGTTCGCTTAACAATCTTATGGAGGGGAGATCAAATGTAGAATGTAGTGAATGTTACGTTAGCATTAGAACAAATACTCAAGAGACAGAAGTACAGTCCGTCTCATCTTGGTGATCGTGCCTGAGGTAGCTAGACGTACTCTCTTCAAGCCTCAGACATGAACCTGACTGATACAGGCTGTACAATTCTTTGGGGAGAGAAAATACAGTATTCAGATAGTTTAATCGAGATGGTGCCATTGTGCCACTTGACGTCCGGGGTTCTCCAGCACTTCTACGACGTGCTGGTCTTCCAAATTCAGCAATGCACGGCCGATGACATCATTTCGGTTTGATCGATCGTGATTGATGACCTGTAGAAAAACATTAGAAAAACATTGCAGGACAACAGAGTACATTGGCATGGCTGATAAATGACCAATATAGGTATGTTAGTTGATAGGTATTTCCCCAGTCCCACTCGAAGGCACAGCTCACGATTGAATTGGTTCAAGAGTTTTCCCTCTAAGGATAGACTATGACCAAGAACGGCATATGAATCCTGTTGCTTCAAAAAATACCTGAACAGGGCTTAATAATCGCTCCGGAGCCTGTCAACGCACACCGAAAAGTTTGCTATTACCCTGTTCATGATGCAAGATACACAATGGCGCATACGTATTGCAAAATGGGAGAAGTCGACAGCAGGCACCATCACGATGCAATGCCAACGTCGGCGTCAAGACGTCTGGGAACCGGCTTTGGTTTTAGGCGCTAACGAGTAGGACGCCCATCAGGGAGACACCTAGACGTTTACAGAGTCGACGCCACTTTATTGAATTTGCAATTGTTCGTTCTCTTTTTTTTCAAAGGCACCATGTTGGTAAGAATGAACCTGCACTTGCAGGCACAAAACCGAACCTCAACACTCAAATCTTCCTTTTGTCCGTTCTCTACAAATCTGTACAGTGCCGCACAGGTCATCGACTTAGTAGATATCGGACGTGCTAACGTCGACGATACGACGTCGGTACCAGGAATGTTCCTGCTGGAACTCTCCATCGCAACGCTTATCATTTTGGTCTACTGTCCCTCTTTACGCTATTGCACCAACCGACAACTCGCCCACATATCCCTTCCACGCAACTTCTGTCGTCATTATTTTGTACAACCCATTTTTACAATTTTTTGGAGCCTTATATCTCTTGAAACCCAATTTGTACCCTTTCTTGACACCTTTGTACTAATTTGCATGACAACTTCCATTGAAGTGAAGGATAGAGTCCTCGGGTGTTGACAAGTCCCGCTTGAGTGATGCGACCTCGCACCCTATTTCCATACAAAATCGTAGTGGCGTATTGATGGGTATGTGGCCTTCACTTGTGGTGGTCCGAGTTCAAACCGGGACCACGCGTGTGATATTGCGTCACTTCCCACTTCACATCTCTGCCTATTTCACTAATACTAGACCTCTAAATTATCGTAAACTGAGCCTTCGAATCAACATGGTCAGACTTATTCAAGTTTAACATGGATTAAGTATCAGGAAAATACAAATGCAAAGCTACAGTGGTTGACATACAAGTAGCATCGACTGTTTGGACCAAGATAGCCATGCTTTTGTTGCCTCTTAGATGAGCCTCATAGTGTAGAAAATCAAGATTTCAAACGTAGGAAGAGGGATCTGGTCCCTCAGATTTTCATGGAAATATTGAAAGAGACTCGAGGTGAATTTAGAAGAAACAGAGTCGTTCTGGAAAGATGAAGCCCAATAAGATGTGAAGCACAAGAAAGCCGTTTGCAAGTGCTGGCAGAAGAAGTTGGCATCAGAAGATCTAACTGCCTAGCGGATTTGCAAAAAGCTGTTCAACGCTGTCATGGGGAGGCAAGGAATCAGGAAATTGACGCCTTGTAGGAGATGCTCGAGGGCGAAAGGATAGGAGTTCGTTTCTCAAGTAGGCCGGTCCCGGCATCAGACAGCTCGAGACATCGCACTAATGAAGAGCGTGAAGAATAGCGACAGTGCGAACCTATGAAGCTGAGAACGAAGATGAGAACAGCACACCAGTGAAGGAGAGCAACGCGCATTGCTGGTGAAGGGTGGGGAGCGACTGGTCTGAATGGATTTCCATCAGGGGAATTGAATGGAAGGAACGTGTTGAATTATTCCACAACCGTGGGAGCAATTTCACCGCTTATACCATGAAATCGAGCGGGCGCCTAGTTGACTCAAGACTTGGGAAACATGGCTTAGTTCCACAGGACCAGTAGGAATAATGTCCCAGAGGTCTAGAACGGATGCCATTTTCAGAGCAAAGAAAATTGTGTAATAGATTAGAGAAGAATGCAGAACCAGCGAACCAGCCAACCTCGAATCTCCATACAGTAAGCAGTAAATATAAGCAGTGAGCAGCAGTTAGCTGTCACATCCCACTTACCTGAAGATCAATGACGCAGTTGTCCATCTTAGTCTCTGGCAATTCGAAAACGAACGATTCGTTATAGACGGGATTCACTGTGGCGCGACGTACATGCGTTTTCTTTTTTACGATACGTTCGCCATTTTCGCGACGTAGATAGAGCTTCACGTACGGATCTGAAATTCCCTATCTAGTATTAATTTATCGTTTACAAGTAGACAAAATGAACCAGTACTAACTACTAACCCTGTTTCTCAATCCCTATATTTCAATCCCCTTATAGGCCAGTCGGATCACCCGGCTAACTCCTGGTTTCCATCCTTCTTATGACAGAGTTGTAATGAAGGGACAACGGTCGCTTCTTCTTCGGAGAAAATGATATTTACTGGACCCGAAATTTGACACAGGGCTAACAAGGCAGTACAGTGGTATTCGGTATGTTTCGATCACTATGCTTTTTATAAGTCTTGATCTACTGATCTTCATCTTAAAAAGAATCATCAAATGAAGAATTAACTGTCAAGCACATGAATAGATCCTCCGTGATGACCAATGTTAAGCACTTCTCATAACAAAGAGAAGGTAGCCTCACTGCTCCCTGGAAGGGCTCTATTTCTTGCGCACTCACTACCTAAGTGTCTCTACGAGCAAATGATCACAGCAAAATTCTCGTTGATTATGAGTCTCAGCTGAGCAATTTATTCACTATACAGTCAGCTGCTGCAGCTTCAGCTTCTGTCACTCTACAGTATGCAAATATTGGACTCACACAGCTAAGCGTGTAATTCGTCACAAAATCCATAAATAAATAATGACAGTGTTCTCCAGTTCGCAGTTCGCATACTGTGGGACCTTGACAAACCTGCAGCTCCTGTTTCGTTCCTGCTCAGACCACGAGCTTTCAGCACGACTACGGTCAAATTGTTGAAAGCTGGCTGGTAAGTGAGTGAGAGGAGTAGCTCTCCTCGAGCCGCAACGCAGTCGGATGCACGAGGTTGAAGCGCAAGTTCCACTCTGCAATTGTGCTCATTATCGATCAGCAAAGACGACGTAGGATCAAGCACTAAGGATCCATCCGATGTCAATGAAACTACCTCATCTCTTGATAGAGCATTAACTCAGCGTCAGCTAGTCTGTAGACGCATTCTCCAACAACTGTGTCACGGCTGTACCGATCGAAAGCAACAACCTAAGAAAATGGATGTTACATCAAATGAAGCCCTAAGAGGAACATTTGATGCTCACCTGGAAATGTAGAGTACTGCCTGTAATTTGTTCGCTAGTTACACCGTACATTGTGAACTGCTCATCGTATTTCGGTGACGTTGTTGAGCGTACGATGCGGGTCTTGACGCGATGTTCGCGTTCTGCAGAATCGATCAGTTAAAGAAATTTGGAAAAATATTTAAAGTGTCTAACCTGGTAGAAGTTGGAGCTTGACGTATGGGTCCAGAAGACACTGACCATCGCGGGACACAACCAATTCGCATAGATTGCGGCATTCGACAATTCCTACCTGCAAGGAACAGTTTTTATTTAGACGTCCTGTCCCATTCATGTAGGTCTTTCGGGCAGCCGGATTCTCCCAACTTTGTAGCTGTAAACTATTCCGCCACAGTTAAAATTCTGAGTAAAAGCATTCGGTACAGTGTGAAATTAGTGTTCGCACGACGCACGATGTAAATGAAAACTTAAAGCGACGATATGAATAGCTAAGAAGAAAATCACAAGAATCCGTCGGAAAAAAGGAAAAAAGGGCCCGATTATCGACGCTCGATTTCGGTGTTGAATTGCAAGGGAAGCAGAGTAGCAGGAACTGCGTGCTGCGAAAAGGAAATGATCAAACGGTGAATTGCTGAACAGGAATTACTAGATGGCATGCAGGCACCTCATAGACATTGATGAAAGTTTCTTCGCAGCCAGAAATTGCCGTGGAATGTGTATTTCCGATTTTCCTTTCCAATCGCATGACCTCCCCTATATTTGCTGGATGGGATCCCCTTCGAAGGTAGACAGTACTGTAGAACCACGTAACTACGATGTTGCAGTCTCCTTAAGTGAACGATCGTCAAGAAAATGATCGACCCCTTATTAGGGCACTCATGCTGTTCGTTGTGAGATTTATAGACGAATCGTGCACAAGTACGGGCTGGGTGCTGGGCAGTCCTGCTCTGCTGTTGAGCACGAAATTGGTTTCGGGCATTTACGCTTGTTTACTGAAACGAATGAACCAAACTTGATCGGCAATTACGCTGCCGCTCTGAGGTTTCAAAGATTATTTTTGCGGGCTCCCCACTTCTACTTCTTATCAGTGTATTATATCGCAAAATGGCCATGTGGGAATAGGTTATATTCGGAAAATTCGCACAACTCTCGCAGCAACATCTTTTCATGGGATTACACATGACAAATGGAGAAATCAGAAGTAGTGTCCAAGGATCCCGACTCCAAGGAACCGCAGGAATCATTTGACTCCATCGATTCGCCAGAAATCATGAATAGCTTGACTACTAATCATCTCCGTATGAGTGACGTAAATTCCGATTCTTAAAGACACAATTCACGGAAAAATGGCTTCTGATATATCCCCCTGGAATAAATTTGTGGTCCCCGAGTATTTCATATGCGGCGTTGTCAGGTAGGAAAGCGGCCCAGATAAGGCAGTGTAAGACCACAAAGATTGTATCGGCTGTACGTCACACCATAGACGAACGAGTTTCAACTGCGTTGTAGAGGTTGCCCCACCCACAAGAAGCACCCAGACACCCATATGGGGAGTTCAGACAGCTTTTCGTGACCCACGACAGTGAAATTTAATTTCAGGCAACTTTGGCTCGTTGCGCAATTGCAACGACTGAAATCTCGTCCAAATACCCCTTCCATGACATTTCCGTCATGGAGATCTCGTACAAACCCTATCTTCGCTACTTTTAAATAGCCTTAATTTTCGCATTTTTTCGGATTTTTCGTTTCCTTCACCACCTATGCACTATTCTCAACCAATACCTCCACTTTTCGACCTTAAAAGGGTACCCCAAAATTATCGTTAACTATAGCTACCCCTGCTATTATCGCCCTTGATTTCCAGCACAGTATTTCATTGAACTTCTGTAAAGTAGAGGATTTTTCCCGAGTGTTTGGGCCTGATGTTTTCGTTGTCCACAGAGCAGTACGACGCTTTCAAACATTCAGCGATGCACATGATACATTATGTAAATGGCTGAAGGTCTTTGATTCATTGCTCGCCTCTTGTCTGACGCACTTTTGATCTCAAAATAAGCCGTACGAAACTCATAGCAACGATGTAAAAAATGTTGTTTTCTTGAGTAGCTAGCCTTTGCCGCAAAAGTAGGAATTCTATGAAATTGCTGGCATACAGGCTTATACGATAAACAGCTCATTTCACCTGCCTGAACTTTGCTGACTGCTGTAACAGCTTGAGAACTTATTTTTGGGAATAATACGTATATATATATGCTAAACAGGAAAAAGCAGAAATAAAAAGAAACGGTCGTACGACTACGATTTTCTGCCCCGTACAACGTAATTGAAAGTGGAAGGTATGGTCATGGAAGTGACCAAGTAATTTTGCGATTTCGTTTTCTTGTTTTATGACCCTTTTTCGCTGTAAAATCACAGTGACCTATTAGTAATGGAAAATTGAATTTCCAGAGAAAATCTGTCTTGTAATGTGGTATTCGTGATCTCGGACCTTTCTTTTAGGGCCGTAGTATACTGGAGTAATTTGAAGAGCTTCTTGAGAAATGAGCTTTTAATGACCATGCGAAGCATGCTGCACTCTGTGTTTTTCTCGTAACCGTCTGACTCTGCGGCATCAAAAAGCATGAAAGAGCATGAAAGGAGTAGAAAGACTGATCACATGCGAAGGGAGGCCTGTGACCCCGATTTAGAATGATGGAGCATAGCTTAGTAGCAGAGTGAGCAATTGGAAGATTTTCTCTCGTAGCAGTGATGCCCTCCTTCGTAGATTAACTCTCGTCGTGTTTTCGATGAATTCCCCACAAGAGTAGTTGGATTCGGATTCGTACCTCGAAACTCTTTACATCCGTCACTAGTATTCCTCGATCAATGGCGATGCAAAGAGAATTTCCGCTGCTGACCCCACGAAGAGATAAAATATGAGGGGATCCCAAGAGGGATGAATTAGCCAACAGAAAAGGGAACAAACGTTAGGAATGAAAAAGCGAAATCTCAAAATTCGTGCATAGATTCGCCAACATCAAAAATCGACAGCAAAAACGATGAGATGAACTGCACGAACTTGTAGGAGAGATGAACTGCTTGCGAGCCATCGCTCCAAAAACAGCCTCATGGCTAAATATTCGATAGTTCTGATGCTGGAAATGACGTCGAAGAGAATGAAATCCCTTAGAAGTTCACGGCTCTGTGAAAGGCGGAAAGACTAAAAAGTTAGGCGAAAAACCGGATCATACTGAATGAGCCTTCGAAAAAACTCCATTTCACAGCTCCAGCTAAGATGGCCTTCTGCTTTTGCCCATTTCAAAACTGCTCCGAGAACTTCATCTTCGAAAACAAACCCTCGTTCAGAAGGGAGAAGAAATATTGATTCTACAGCGTCATTTAGAAACTTTTANCATGAAGGTGAGTCGCCACTAATTGTTCCCATAGAAACCATAAAGGGTACATATTGTTGTGCCTAAGAACAAAGGCTTCAGGAGCAGTAGGAAATATTTAAAGTTCGCCATGTAAGTTCAAGGAAGGAACTTTTAAAGCCTCTTCCTGCCGTGCTCTCCAGTGTCACCGTTCTCAAAGGCAATTTAAGTTGGAAAATTGAGTGTCAAAACGAGAACTCATGGTCGGAAACGACACATCGGTATGGCTATGGGAACTGACCCTGTTCAGCCAGGTACTGGACAGCAGCACCTGCTATGGTATGGACACGCACTGAGAATACGAGAGGATTACCCGACAAGAAAATCGTCCGAATATTCAGGATCTCAGACTCCGAATCGATTTAGACAAGAGTGACAAACATTATGAGAAATATGCTTATATTTTTCGTGAGTGGAGGGTCACAGTATGACTGTATATGGGCCACACTTTACGCTTCCCAGTTGTGGTTGAGAAATTTATCAAAAGTCATAACACCACGAGGCAGACCTGAACTCTCTAAAATGGCTTGAAGTCTGAAGAGATTCTTAAATTACTTCAAGAAAAGTCTAATTTCTGGCAAGGAAAGAGAGGCCTTACTGACCATACTCCAGTCAACGTAGACAGTAAATCCATTGTGAAGTTGTTCACCTAGCCAATAAGCCTCCGCCAAGGAAACAAGAGAGGCAGGCTCAAAAGTTTAATGTCTTCGACTATCAGTTAGTCGCGTCAAGAACCCTCTAGGTGAATTCTCCAACCCAATGAACCGGGTTCTAGAAGAGTTCCAAATTTAGAGATCGCTGTGAACTCGCCATTCAGTTGCAGTTAATCAGGCCTCATCTTTGATAAAGTACCCTGCAGCAATAGTGGATTCTGGCAGAATGTGTTTTACTCACCCAAATGAGAATCTCGAAGTCCAGCAAACTAGTTGACTGCTTGAGGGCTACGGAAGAACCCCGGCCTTTCATTCGTTTATACTTACTGAAAGATCATGGCGCACCGCACGTCTAATATTGTGTTCTGTTATTCTGTTAAAGTGTCAATGGCGTCACTTCCCTTAGACGGCTTAGCAAAGTGAATGAGATTACTAGAGCAGGTGCTAATGCACAAGTTTGGTCTCTTGGATTGACCGTATTTGAGTTCTGAGAAAAGCTGCATCCAGCCTAGCGCATTGGAACATCTAAGGTAAGATAAAGCCAAGACCTTTGAATCGTTCCAGTCTGTTTAAAAAGATGACCCAGTTAAAAGGTCGACTGAATAAAGTGGTTAAATCATCACAAAAGTAAAGTAGGAAAATATTCAAGGAATAAGAATTAAATCTCATCTTTTTACTCTCTTAAAGGCACAGCTCACGTTAATTTTGGGGTATCCGGTTTTTTAGCGAAATTTGACAAAAAATGTTAGATACGGCCTACAATAGTACAATGGTAATAAAGAAAACGCGAAAAAAGATGAATATAAAGAAATAGACAGCTACAAAAAACAAGGGAAAAGGGGGGTCGGACGAGCTAAATGGCGAAAAAACGGCGATAAGAATTTTTGGGGCGAGTCAGACAAACGCGGCGCAGTGTCTGCCATTGCACACAACACACCAACAGCTGATTTTGGCTTATTCATTAAAACTAATTCTCCTACCGCTATTATTCTGATTTATTATGCAGTATCAATTTCGACCTTTTGACGACGGCTGAGAAAAATTAATCAGAATTGAAAAGCGTAGATTATAGTCGAATACTAGAGAAACAGCCGAATAGTAGTCCCAATACGAGGCGGTCGACCAGCTGACCGTCTGTGGGCAAATTGCCAACCAGCCTATCGATTTTTCACTAATGTTGCTCCAATGCGAAAGTGGTGTAGGACAATTTGAACTCGTAGTCAACCTAGCGAGGGGCGGAGGCCTGACGTCCCCCACTGTTCCTGCCCTTATTGTGCCTATCCAGACCGTTTTCCGACCTCATTCCTGCACAAATGGTATCAGAGGGGGCTTCGAATTCAAAAAATGTGCAAAGCTCTGAAACCACTTTTTGTGAACTGTGCCTTTAAGAAGCTACGGACGCCTCGATCGGTTATATTTGTGAAAAGAGAACGAGAAACAAACCCCACACGTTGAATGAAATAAGGTATCAATAGAAACAGCCGAGATGGAAAAAACGATACCACAGCTCCCGCTACTATAATAACTTCGGCCTTGCGTAGAGAATAGAGTAAGGAAAGCAGGAGTCATTGTGATGAGAATAGCGTTCGGAATGACAGCTTTCGTCGTGTAGAATATCTCGAATTTTGCAGCCTGGTCACCGATGCTTAGTTACTGGCAAAAAGAACTGAACCGATCGCTTTCTACCGCTCTCAATGATAAGCTTATGTGTAGTAAAAAGTCTCTTATGATTAAAACAATATGCCTATTTCCGGTGTCAAGTAGCTGATCTTCTAATGGGTATTTTCATAGGAAGGTGATGGCAAACCTGCAATGCAAGCGATACAGGATCATAGCTGAGAGTGAACGTGATGAGTCCGCGTTCGGATGGCAACTCGGACGGCGACAGCTTCCGCGTACGATCTTCGAGGAGCGATTGGAATGGCACCACCGGACTTGGTGATGAATCAGTGGACAGTGGGCTCTGAAAATGCAAAATTCGTCATTCGATTACACGACAGGAAATTCTTCAAATCAAATTTTCAAAAAAAAAAACTGCTCAAGAAGCCCGACTCCGATTGCTTGCCTGCCTACGAATGGCTTCTCAAAGGGATTTCCATGAACTATTTACTGTAACTGTCTGCATTTCTCCTTTCTATATACCTGTCTTAAGCCGATTGACATCCCCACTTACACCTCCGCCATGCGACTTACCCTTAATGCACTATGCTTATTATTTTACTTCATTTACTGAAAATAGGACCCTAATTGTAGCTCTTATCCCAGCTCTTATATCTTAGCAGAAGTCAAAAGCCGCTTCTCTGACAAACGTGCTGTTGTTAATAAACCCCCTATTCAAGTTGAAAGAGCAGTTCGATCTTTTTACAATCTTTGGCCCTACCATGCGGAAAAAGAGTACAGTCTGGTGTCATACACCTGGTAAGGTGAAGGAGGCTGAATTGTCCGGTAATATGATTTCCATAGACACGTCCTGCGAGGTCAGAGGAACTATTTTATAATTTGTCAGGAAAAGATCCCAAAGAACCCACCAAAATAAATGACTGTGGAACGATAACAAATGAGCTTAGCGTTTTCAATCACAATTCGACCTATAGAGGGGATGGCGTGCGTGATGCTCATATTGTGTACGACATCAGGAAGCGAAAGGAAACTTATTTGTCCTATCTAAGAAATATAGCCCGTAAGCTAACGCTGTCCTTTGTCAGTTAATCTTTTTGAGCCAAATAGCATTACTGCTGAATTTTTGTTTTTCCAAAAGGAAATTAGATATATGGAAGCGGACGGTGACGACTAGCCAGATTAATTGTGAAATGCAGATCCAGCACGATTATGGAAAAGCTCCCTCTATTGACAGTGTTTTAATACGAAAAAACCGCAAAATTTGATACGCTCTAACCCCCCCCCCCCTTCCCCTCCCCCGCCTTCCTTGAGACTCGTTGTTACAGAGATCTTCGTGCTTACCTGTAGTGGTGACGGACTTTGTTTCAATCCTCCTGGACCTTTTGGGAAACCATTTCGCACAGCGATCACCTGAAACAAATGCGTTCTCTCCATTTCATTCAATCGGCCAAAAAACTATGCCTTCTTCCTTTCTAAAAGCAACACATGTAAAAAGTCTCTGGTGGGAATGGAATGCATTGAATTGCTGATGAAGACGTGGGAGATGGATGGGCGAGAGTGATTGCCCTTTCATGATTTTCTATGCGGATTGACGTTCTTACAGCTCCCCACTGGGTGATGCCTTTTCACACAATAAACACGCTAACCACCAAGTAAAGGGCGTATGTCCTTCCTCTGATGACATGTCACCTCCCATCTTTGATCGACAGCTGGGAAATGGCCTTCCGCATGGAAGAAGCGTAACTAGCCAAGGCACGAACATATGCGGCTCAACCCTCTCACGGTCTTCTGTACTAGCTATGGACCGTTTCAGCTTTAGCAAGAACTTCTGTGAGATACCGTGATAGGATGGTTTCCCTCTTAACCTTGGCTTCGCTTCTAGTACTGTGACATCATGATATCATTACCATGGAAACGTACACTACGTTTCTTCTAGGAAGAATAGACCAGCTGTAATGGTAAGAACACGGCTACGCAACCTATTATTATGTTTGTGCACAATCCATGAGTCAGTAAAAACCGATCCAGGGTCTGTCATTCTGCTTTTTCCCCTTATTCGAGAGAATATCGGTGACTGGATCGTGNTAATCCCTGGAATGAGTAAAGGTGTAACTAACAGCTGGCTTCCGACGCCTTTTTGAGTTGCATCAGGTAGCTAATGGTGCGTATGTGTAGCAGTATCGCGGAAGGCTGGCCAGTGTTAAGCGTTAGTCTTAGCTTTTGGCGAATTCTTACAGATACCGTGAAGTCCCACATGCATCTTCTTTCGATACTAGCATGCCCAAGGGCTAACGAAACGAAAAACAGCATAAATAAAACAATAGGTTGTTGCGGGGGAAATATGCCATGGCTCTAATCATGATATCGCTTGACGTGGTTCTGCACTTGAATTAAAAAATAGAAGCCGGAAATTCCAAAATCCACAGATAAAATTATATACGGCTCCTTGTATATGTTAGTAGGATTGAAGGCGCTGATACCGAAGGTTGAATTCTCTCTGGTTGGAACTGTAGGGATAAAATTTTCAGAAGACATTGGTGTACGAACCTATTTGGTTACCTGCTGTTTTGCCTCTTGGCAGTCAATAAACCTGGGCATCTGACTTCTCAGGTCGTTTTAACACAACTTTGACATATTCTTTATGAAGATCCGCAATTTGCTCTAGCAAGGATCTCCGAGGGTCACACTTCAACTGGTGAATCCCAAGGTGCTTTTGACCTTGCACTTCCCAAGTCATCAATTCATTACCTGCCCACTGAGTAAAGATTACCCAGGATTCCCTTGCTCTTTAACATGACTTCTGATTGTGGCAAGCAGAAAAGTTAGCAACATCCAGGTATAGTTCGCTCAGCGTTGCACCAATAGGCGATGGACATCGAAAGAGGCTGATATCACTTTTCCCCAGTGAGCTGTACCAAGTTGACAGGATGGTTTGAAACCTAGCCGCGTTGAAACCGGACCACCGCGCGCTCTCATCTCATGATCAACTGGTCAAGTCAGAATTTCCTTTTCACCCTAGCATTTTGCATTGCAGAGAAACCACAGGATGATATTATTCCCTAGAAGAGATGTTTCAATCTCTTCTTTCTTTATACTTGATATTTGAAAGCAAGGGAAGAAATATTGACGTGGGCGGATTCATCAACAAATACCCAGACACGTTTTATCTTCCCCATTTATTCACAAATGTGCAAGCAGCATTACTACAAACTCACTGGTAGATGACATGAAGTCAGTGAAGACAGCAACATAGAAAGTCACACTAGAACGGTCATTCGTTCGATCTTGTCATGGGTGCTTTTCCCTGCCTCCATAACAGACTGTTCTTTCAGCAGAATGGGAATCCTTCTTCGGAGAATCGGTCACATCAACCATAAATATGACAAGCCGCAGCCCCTACTTTCGGGTTTCATGCTGGCCAGGCCATTAGTGGGACTTCACAGTCGGCTTCAATTTGTTGGCAGCGCCAAGTCATCAGCTTTTGATTAATCTGTCATCGCTACATCAGGAAATGGATCCAAACTGTGGTCAGAATGGTACATGCAGAATGTCACTTGTAGGCAATCTTTATTGACCAGCCGGCTCCGGATCACGCTACCAGTCACTCCTTTGATGACATTTCTGCCTGCCCCTACCTTCAAAGCCTCGACTTTAGAAAAAACTGTAGCTCCGTCATCGCTAAATCGCGCTCTATTCCGGTGAATCCATGCCATAGCTGTTCGAAGCAATCTGTCACCCGGCTAAATCCCATTTAGAGGGTTTTCTGCTGAAAGTGCAAGCACAGACTTCCTAGTTGCTGGTCGTCTCTCAGGACATCGCTGAAGACAAGCTATATTTCCGGCTAGCATACTCACTTTTCAGCCAGAAGCCTCTTAAGTTCTGCCTTTCCTCCTAACTCCTCTTCTAACTTAATCAGCAAGGTCACTTCAAGAGCCCCGTGAAACTTGCCTACTCCAATTTGGCTGGAAGGAGTGCTTGTTAGAAGATGAAATACATGCAAATATCCATTAGTGTAATAACCCTAGGCAGCTAACGTTCTTCAGAGCGTAGGAACTATCGATAACGGACTCTCGCGATAAGTGGTAACTTCTCCTTCCTAGCTAGAATTCTCTTATAAATTCTTCTGAGAAAGTTCATATTGCGAGCACAACTTCTTATGGATAGCAGTACTGTACCTGTTTGGGCGGTAGTAGAAGTGACGGATACTGTCGACGTTTTTTGACTGCGAGGAGTGCTGCTACGGCGATCAGCCCTAGCAGACCTAACGCACCACCGATCCCCAGATAGAGCCAGTCTGAAGAAAAATAATGTAGATTTGATGTATTGACATATTGGCTTTTTGCAAGAGTAATTCTAATTGTCCCTATGTCAGCCGCAATGTTCTCTGCGGAAATTCTCATACAGTTCCGACTTTCTTTATTGTTCATTGTGGTCCGTGAAACAAATGAACAATATTTATATTTTCAGACAACCAGCCGCTATTTGCTCCCATTCTTCACACTGCTACCATTAAGGTTTTCTTTAGATATGTCAATTTTTCTGGTTGGGTTCCTTCTTCAACGTTGTCTAACATAACGTACAGGTAAATAGGAATAAAGTAAAAAGCGACTCTTTTTTACTAGTACAACCCATTCATTTGAATGAGAGATTGAATGAGAGGTCCGGAAGTTTAGCAACTCTTAATGTTTCTGCTTGGATAAGTTTGGCAAAAAGTCTCGAAAACACTACAATTTCGTCAAGCGCTACTTCCGGCGAATCGCTGAAGTATAGGGTGGACTTAATCCAGTCCTTCATTCCGTTCCAGAGAAGGAAAAACTTAGGTGAAGAAGGACAAGGCTATCTTGCAAGTTCAGCGAGACTATTTGGCATTGAGAAGAAAAGCGAGAAATTTGGTTCGACCTCTTTCAAAAATAGAGAAGAATCTATCCATAATCAAAGGTAGGCACTCATGGCCCATAGAAAGCATCTCAACTCTAGAGAATAGACTCAGCAGAAGCAAGGCTCCTGGAGTTTTATCTGGAATCTTCTCGTTGAGGCAAAAGGCGTGAGTCATCATGCTGATCGGAAACCTAAAAAATCTCAGCACATCCCTACTCAGTTAAATTTCATCTTGGGCGAGTTCAGTGAAGACCCCCAATATCAGAAACAATTGCAAGCCGTTCAGTTGCCATACCGTTTCTGCATACGTGATACAACTCAGGGATAAAATCTGAGATGGGAGGAAATTCACCGTCTATTAGCTTACAAAATAAGGGTATGCTGGCTGATTGCAAATCTGTTCGGTAACAGCGAAGAAGGTCAGAGGCGGTCAGAGCAGGATGGGTGGTGCGTTGATTAGGTGAGGCAAACGATGCATCAGACTTGGTTGGCTAACAGAGACTAGTTCATGATTGACGGTATGTTATACTTCTTGCACAGAATCAGCTGAAAACCTGCCTACGTGATTCCTGGCACGTGATTAGGAACGCAATCTTTTTGAGCATTTCATTACTTCCCGTGGGATCTTCAAATAATTGAGCATTCCCGTAGTCACATCATGTCACTTTCAGCGTCGTTCTTAGCCTCTGTTTCGCGGAACTATTCGACCATTAGCTCAGAAGTCATTTCACACCTAAACTCAACTTCTTCTACAACCATTCTACGTGCGATTGCCGCTACCGTGTTACATTGACGCAGGGGCATCGACATGTCCCTTCACTTTAATGCGTTCAACCTTCCCAAACATAGTTATTCCTGACGAAGCCATCTAATTACCACCTACAGAAATCGAGGAAGACAAACAAAGAGAAAGATATGAAGCATGGTCCTCTGGGGCTATCGGCATGACTCCAGTAACCTTCAAAATACTTGTCACGCTACACAATTTACAAACAGCGAGTGAGATATGCAACTTTTCCTGCACACAGTCAGACTTACTTGTCGAGAGGGACGCTGCGACACTAATACAGACGAGGGATGACATTTCTATGGTTTCCAAGTAGAAACATAAAGTTCAATACCACGTGAAATCGTAAATGAAAACGGTCTTCCACATCGTTCGTACATCATTCCTACTATAATCCGCGACACTTGAAGCTTCATTTCACGAGTTTTTAAGGATATTTCAATTTTCCTATTGCGTAGTGGGCTAACCAGTACCGTTTCTGACCAACAGCAAAGTATGGATTACTGTTCAGCTTAAACTCAACTCAGAAGAATTAGGGAGTTCTCAGTTTTGGGGTCTCTTCGCAGGAATCGCAAACCTTGGAGTTATACATGAGATGTATAAGGCATGCCAATTTCGATTCTCAGACTGTCAGAGTGAAACAACCACAACGACCTCGACTCCAGCACCCTATACTACAACTGTTTAGGGCAGTTTCGAAATTTACAAGGTAAACTGAAAGAGTAACGAATGAAGGAACACAGTACGCTGAGAATGATTTACAGAAGCT